CTTCATATCTCTCTCGCAGTCTGTCTGGTGTTTTCCTTGTCCGCTGTCTTCTTTGCCGAGCTGTCCATCTGGTTGCAATGCTAACTAACCTACTATCTTATTTTTTCCCTTCGAGCACATCTGCTGGCCTGCGTGACTTACTTTTCTTATCATGTTAATTCACTCTCGTTTGCATAATTGATATGAATGTTGATCTACTTGTTGTATTTCTATCTATTGGTTTGTTGATTTTTTTTTTTTTTTTTTTTTTTAGATTCCTCGTTGTTGTGGATTTATGTATATTATTTGTTGTGTGTGCGTGTTTTTTGTCGTAATGGGATTGGTTTATGTTTGAATGTCTGGCTGCTATAGTTTTCTGTTTCTGTGTTAGCATTTTTTTATTTGTTTATTAGTATTTTTTGGTTTAGTTATTTTATATTCGGTTTAATTATTGTCAATGGATATATGTTTACCTTTTATTTTTTTCTGTCTTTCGTATCAATTGTTTATGTCCTTTTTTCTTCCCCTGGCTCTCTCCATCTTCGTCATCACTCATTTATCCTCTCTCCCTTTCTTTGCTTCCGTGTTCTCGCCCACATGTCCCCACGCCCACCACCACCTTGGGTCGCCCTCTCCCTCACCCACCCCCGCCCCCCCCCACTTCAACTCTCACCACCATGCTCTTCCTCTTACTCCACTTCCTCCCTCTTCACCCCCTCCAATGCTCCCCCCTGCCCATTCCCTCTATGCGCACGCCTTAACTTCTCCCACCTCCCTCCCTACAGTGCTCATACCCCCCCCCCCCACTTTACCCTCCATGCCCTTGCTTTTATCCTTCCCGTCTAATGCTCCGCCCCCCCCCCCTTCAACATCACCCTCCTATCCCCCACCCCTCCAATACCTTCACCCCCTCCCCTCCAGTACCTTGGTCCCCCACCCCTCCTATACCCTCGTCCCCACCCCTCCGTATACCCTCGCCCCCACCCCTCCTATCCTCCATACCCTCGTTCCCTACTCCTCCTATCCCTCCAATACCCTCACCCCTCCCCTCTTACCCCCTCGCCCCCACCCTCCAACCTCCTCCCAGCTCCGCCCCACCTAGTGTATCCTTCAGCCCACATGACGCTCTCATGGCCCCCACCTGCTGATGACTCAGGCCAATCCTTCGCTCGCATTTTCTTCTCTTCCTTTCTTCCTTCTTCTCTCCTCCTGTGATTTATTTTTCTTCTTTTATCTTTTTTTTTGCCATCGTTGTTTTGTTGGCGTCGTCTTTTTCTTCGATGTCTTTCGTTTGTCGTTTTGTGGAATGGTTGGGATTTTATTTTAATATTTTTCCACATGTTTAAGATTTTTTTCCTTCGCATTTGCATTTAGTATTTTCTTGTTGTTTTAAGTTGTTTGTTCGGCCCACTGCTGATCCCTGTTGTGATTCGCCAGTTCGAGTCCTTTCCTTGCTACATCACTTGCTTTTTATGCTTCTCACTCACTCCCTCTTTACTCACCCTTCCACTCCCTTCCTCACTCATTTACGTTCTCGATTACGGGCGGGCGCACTCACATTTCCATATTCATTTATTTATAACCCATTAACTTACTTTGCTCTCCTTTCCCGGCTGGGCCAACTGGTCGCTGACGGACTGGCAGACCCGGACACTTACCTACACTCACTCGCTCTCTCATATATTCGCTCCCGCATTCACTCACTCACTCACTTACTCGCTCGCTCTTTCATTCAATCATTACTCACACACTCGCATACTCGCTTACTACTCACAGTCTTTGTCACTTGCTCGCTCTCTCGTTCACTCACGCATACACACTCGTACTTACTCTTACTCATTCCTCATTCACTCCCGCATACTGACTCTCTGTAAATCTTGCCGTCTAGCTACCTTGCGCACTCACGGGTCGTCCCAAGGGTGAAGCAATTTCCGCCACCGACGCCATGGGACATTAGTCTTAATATTCGACCGATATCGGCATTTCCTGAGCCTTTCCTTCGCGGCGCTACGCTCATACGCTCGCCTGTGGTTTAGCGCACCCGCTTTCGCACACACGTGTACATGCAAATCCATATACATACATGCAGATTTTGCATGCACATCTATACATAGACGTATTCACATACATATACACATATAAGCATACGCACATACACAAACACATACACATACCCCTTCGCACGTACACAAATACGGTGACACACAAAACATACACACAACACATGCAGGCACGTACGCACGCGCACGCAAGCACGCACGCACGCACGCACGCACGCACACGCACACGCACACACGCACACGCGCGCGCACACACACACACACCACACACACACACACACACACACACACACACACACACACACACACACACACACACACACACACACACACACACACACACACACACACACACAGACGCGCGCGCTCAGAGAGAGAGAGAAAGAAGAACACACACACCCTGCGATTCCTTATGTCCTTAGCCGATTACCTACATTTTATGCATCTTGGCCTCATAGTGCCACGTCTGCTTCCTGTAGTGCCACCACAGCCAATGCCATCTTTTCAGCATGATTACCAAGCAGTATGGATTTGAAAGTCTGCATCATATTCACCACATGGCGACCATGAGGAGCCGAGAGGGACGGAGACGAGGAAACATCTGAAAGAAGAGGAAATGAGTTGAGAAAGATTGAAGGGTCTAGGAGGAGGAGGAGGAGGAGGAGTGTGAAGGAGGAGGAGGAAGGGCGTGGGAAAGTCACAGGCAGAGTTCGGAGACCCTTATCTCCGTTGCTCTTGCACGTGCGTCGAAGTAAGCAGCGTGCAATAATGATTGCAACAAAATTCTGTCCCTTTGACTCAGCATTATGGTTGGTCTCTCTCGTGCCATATATTTAATTTCGTTAATTTATGCCTCTCGCTCTCCCCATCCTTCCTTCTCTCCTCTCTCTCTCTCTCTTTCTCTCCCTAACCCCCTCTTCTCTCTCTCTCTCTCTCTCTCTCTCCTCTCTCTCTCTTCTCTCTCTCTCTCTCTCTCTCTCTCTTTCTCTCTCTCTCTCTCTCTCTTCTACTCCTCTCTCTCTCTCTCTCTCTCTCTCTCTCTCTCCTCTCTTCTCTCTCTCTCTCTCTCTCTCTCTTCTCTCTCTCTCTCTCTCTCTCTCTCTCCTCTCCCTTTCCCTCTCCCTCCTCCCTCTCCCTCTTCCCTCCTCCCTCTCCTCCCTCCCTCCCCTCTCTCCCTCTCCCTCTCCCTCTCCTCCCTCTCCCTCTCCCTCTCCCTCTCCTCCCTCCCTCCTCCCTCCCCCGCTACCCGTTTCTCTCTCTTTCTTTCTTTCTACCCCTCTGTCTCTCTTTCTTCCCCCCCCCCCCCTCCCTTTCCTTCCTCCTTCTCTCTCTCTCTCTCTCTCTCTCTCTCTCTCTCTCTCTCTCTCTCTCTCTCTCTCTCTCTCTCTCTCTCTCTCTCTCTTCTCTCTCTTCTCTCTCTTGCTCTTTCTCTTTCTCTCTCTCTCTCTCTCTCTCTCTCTCTCTCTCTCTCTCTCTCTCTCTCTCTCTCGTCTCTGTCTCTCTCTCTCTCTCTCTCTCTCTCTCTCTCTCTCTCTCTCTCTCTCTCTCTCTCTCTCTCTCTCTCTCTCTCTCTCTCTCTCTCTCTCTTCACTCTCACTTTCTCTCTCTTTCCTCTCCTTATCACCCTTCCCCTCCCAAACTATCCCCTCACCTTCTGTCCCCATCTAACCTGCTCGCTCTCATCTCAGATGTGTCTCATTAGTCATTTCCTCCAAATGCAAAGGGCCTTTCATTGCCCAATCCCTCCTCTTCCTACCGTCATTTCGCCATCTCTACTTCCCCTCCTCACTTCTCCCCTGTTTATCCTTGTATTCCTTTCGCCCTCTTCGCTTCTCTCTCTTCTCGCATCCCTTTTCTTTCTTCGCCTCTCTCTTTCTTCCCCATCGCCCTTGTGCAATCCACACCTTCCCTTCATCGACCTTCGGGAGCATTTACCTACCCCTTGCCCCCCCCCCCCCCCGCTCCTCCTCCTCCTCTTGCTCCTACTCCCACCTCGGTATCTTTGCATTTTGTTGTTTTTTTTTTTTTTTTGTCTGTATTTTCTTTATTATTACGATTATCTTTTATTTTCTAAATAGCCATCTTTAATACCAAGCATTCGTGATGCTACCGATATATATTGTGTTTTTGCTATCTTCAATTACTTTATATATTTTCTTTTACTCTGTTTATCACAGTTGGTATGGTTTACTGATATTATAAATACGCACAACCCTCCACATCTGAAACTTTTTTCCTGTATTTTTGCCTTAGTTTGTCTTGTAGTTGCTTCGTTCTTCCCTCCTCTTATTTATCCTCTGTTACCTCTATCTCCACCTCATTATTCCACCTTTTATGTTTCCAAAGTCTTCCTCTCCTCCTTCATTTCCCTCTATCTTCTCCTCGCCACCACCTTCTCATGCTCTCTATGTATGAATTATCGTATCTTTCCTCTCACCTTCGCCTAGCGCCCCCCCCCTCCCTTCACACATCGTGTTACTCAACGTTCGCGGTAAAGGATAGAATGAGGATGAATTATTGCAACACATGATCACGCCTTTGCAAGATAGTTCCGTTACTCATTTGATCCTTCCAAGAAGTCCTTAAGATATCACACTTCGCCTGCGAAGGATGCAAGGAATTCCTACCCTCCCCCCCCATCCCTCCTGCACGGCCTCCACGTCCCCTGTTTTGTTAACATTGTCATAATCTTCCTTTTTCTTTGGTTTTATGTCTCTATCTTTCTTTCTGTCTTGCGTGTGTAAATATTGGAGTTCCTCTGTTTATGAGGTATTTTATCATTACCATTAACCGTGTTCCTTTAATTCTGTAACAGTTCTCACCTTCCTTCCAGCTGTCTGTTCTCTGCATCCGGCGACTTCCTGTGTCTAGGACGATCCTCTTGCCTAATCTTCTCCTTAAGTGCCACCTAATGTACCTTAATCCTGTCCTCTCATTACCTTATTATGTACCCATTACCTTGTTCAGGCCACTCACTACCTTACTGTGCGTGAGACCTGTCTTGCTATTCATAAAGAATAAAACGAGCTGATTTGTCATCTAATGTGTGATGTCCTTTGCATTATCTATTGCATTCAATGTCTTATCGCGGATAGCCCCATTACCTTGTCATGTGGACCCTGTTATGAGTTTATGTAAGGGAAGTACATCATTACTCTGCACATAACCTCTTTCTGTTGCAAGTACCAAAAGCACCGCGCCAAAATAACGAATTTTTGTTTTGTTTTTGTTTTCACATAAGTTATTTTACTGTACTTCAGACGTATCTCATATCTAGATATACTGTGTTCCTAGATAGTTAATATTTACTACTAACTTAGGAGATTCAAACGTTCACAGAATATGGATTTGGTGTCTTCTGGTGTCCAGTGTACTATGGCAACCAATTAAAGGGACTTGGCAGCGGGTCCGTCATCAACCAACCACCCAACAGATAACATTCCCAGGAGACGGTGTTGCACGCTTCACGCTGGACGACTGCACTTGCTGATTTTAACAATTTGCAGCATAGTGGTGATTGGGCCCGCGTTGTGTCAGTGCTTCATCCTCTTGATTTCGCATGGTAATGGTATCCAACACCCTACAGTATCCTTAGATTGCCAGATCGCTTATCCATTGCACTCTTTGTCTTTGCAACACGATATACGCATATTGTCCCATCTTATCGCCGTACCCAACGTACCCATTACCCTTTCTTCCATTGTACCCAGTGACCCGCTTCTCCCTCTGCCGTTTACCCAATCATGTGGTGTCACAGAATATTTAGGAAGGTCGTCCTACCTATTTCGGTCTTGGAGAAAACCCCGAATGTTTTGTCCATCTCCGCTAGCTCTCTTTACCCGCAGCTTGCCTCCCTCCCCCTCCCCTCACTCCACCCCAATCGCTCATCCAACCTCCCTTGCCCACACCTCATGCCAAATAAGGCCCGTGTTTATATACCCCAAGTTATACTCTCCGCCACCTACTCAACACTGCATGTCCATTACCTTTAAGCACTGCCCGATGCCCACATCTTATCCCAAGTGTCAACACATACTGCCCACATTCAGCCCACGTATAATGCCCACACTCGACCCACACCCACTGCTGCGGGTATTCTAGAACGTCGACCTTGAGTGTCTCAACAAGTTGCAACTTAACCTTTCCTTTCAATCGTCACGACGTAACCCCTAAATACAACCATGGTAGTGTCCCCTCACTCTCCCCTCAGACCCTCTCTTCAGACACTCCCCTCGGTACTCGTACACGTATCCTTCCCTTCTATTTCCTCTGCATTCCTTTCGCTCCTTTTCTCTAGGCCCATGCCCCGCTCTCCTCGCGTCCTCCCAATAACACCTTTGAATCCTGCGACCAGCCACTTCATCATCGTTATGGTTATGACTTCCCCTCAGATCTGCCCTCTGTGTTCTCCCCTCCTATCCCTTCTCCCATGCGTTCTCCGGCCATACCCTCGCCTCACATCGCTTTCTCACCCTCTGCCCTCGTGCTTTCTCTTTCCCAAATCCTTAACTCGCGCTTCCCAGACCCCCTTTCCCCTCGCACCCAATCATTTCCCCTTTCTGCCCTCTCCCGATCCCTCATGCTTCGCTTTGGAAATCCGTTCCTCCAATGCCATTTTATGTGGACAGCCTTGTTCCTCCGTTTTTAAACAGCGTATCTCTTCTTCTCCTTTCACACCTTTGCATCCACCATCCTTTTATTGCATTCTTCCGACCTACTCCCCCTCCCCCTCCCTCCCGCATCCTCACCCCCTGCATTCCGAAGTGTGTTCTCCTTTGTGTGTATTTTCGGTGTTTTTAAATGCTTGCTTTTTCAATCCATTTCCCAGGCTGACATTACCCCTGCGCCTCACTCTGTCCAGCGCTCCACCATACTATATATTCTATAAATGTATGCTTCCTTTTGTCATTGCACATTCACTGTGTTCATCTTTCTAATGTTCGTTTTTTGATGTTTAAGTATATACTATAGATATATATATTATATATATATATTAGTATTATATATATATATATATAGATATATAATATTATATATTAAATATATATAATACATATATTATTATATTATATATATATATATATAATATATTATATATATATTAATATATATAATATATATGTAATATGTTATATATAATATATGTATATATATATATATATAATAATATAATATTATATATTATATATTATTATATATTTATATTTATGTATATATATATATGTATAGTACATATATATATATATATATATATATATATATATATATATACTATATATACATAATATATATATATTATATTATTTAAATATATATATATTATTTAATATTTATATATATATTATTTATATATTTATATATATAATATATAATATATTATATATATATATATATTATATATATATATATATATATATATATATATATAATATATATATTTATATATATATATATATATAATTATATATTATATATATATATATATATTATATATATATATATATATATAGTATATATGATACATATATATATATATATATATATATGTATATATTATATATATTATATATTTAATATATGTATATATAT